TCGAATGGATGATTTTGATGATGCCGGAATGGGTGCAGTTTCTCCAGTTGATAATTTGGCACACCTAGAAACGATTCCAGAGGAGGAAATACCTGCTGTTCCTGAAGAAATCCAAATATCGAACAAGGAGAAGGATCTTTTTGCCGGTCCAGAAAAGAAAAAGGAGCGTAAAAGTCGCGCGGAAGTAAGAATTTCGTCCGACATTTACATCCTTTGCACGCTTCTTATATACATTTTTAGTCATCTTACCTACTTTTTTTTGTGCGTTTTTTACAGCTATGCAATGCGGAAAACGCATATTGACGAGAGGTTGTCTGTGTGTGTGTTTGTGCCTGTGTGTGCGCTGGGCTTCTGTGCCGATTTTTCATCTCGAGACTTACAAAAGCTACAGGGCTGAAACTTTGGGAACTTGATCTACATGCATGTACAGGCCCCCTTCGACAAGATGGACGGTCTTGCCCGCGTGATACTCACGTACGGGCTAGTGAAGGTTTTTTGCGGGCAAGTTGCTAACTGACGAACCAGAAAAGCTAGAAAGCTGAAATTTTAAGGGGATGTTCCCTGTCCAAGTAAGTCTCATTGAGCTCAAACCCAGCCCTCGGGTACTTGTGGTACCACGACGGGTCTACCAAAACTTTTTTCGATAAGTTGCTAACTCGAAAATTCGAAAAGCTAGAAGACTATAATTTTTAGAGGATATTCCCTGCACGCCTGAACCTCACTGATCTCAAACCCAGACTCCGGATATGCGTGTTACCTACGTACTGGCACGTCAAAATTTTTTTCGGTCAAGTCGCTAACTCGAGAATTTGAAAATCTAGAAGACTGTAATTTTAAGAAAATATTCGCCGTCCTCCTCAGTTTCATTGAGCTCAAACCCAGACCCAGGGTATGTGCGGTGCCCACGTACGCGCTAGTGAAAGTTTTTTTCGAGCTAGTTGATAACTCGGGAACTTGAGAAGCTAGAAGACTGGAATTTTGAAGGGATTTTTCCTGGCAGTCCTGGCGGCCAGTCTGAAATCCTTTTAGCTAAAAGCATCTGTCGGAAAAAACATACGTTAGCGACAAGTATCAGCGGGAAACTATGCAAAAAACGCGTCTTCGCACGGACAGTCCGTGCGTTGGTCAATTATTGCCGCTCTGCTGTCATCTTTTGCACTTTACTAATTACATCATGGTAAATCACCACTGCTAAACACTACAGTAGTACGGATTTGTTTTTAGCGCACACTGGAGGAGGATGAAACAGCAATCGACGGCGAAGATGAGCACAGGTGGACAAAAAGGACCCAAAATGTCTTGAATTCAATTTCAGCTAAAATCAAAGCTTCAGCCGATGGAAAAGTGAAGTTTTTTCTCCTTACTGAAAATAGTCACCTTTGCTTTTTATGCGTTTTTGCTGTTCAACGTTGCTATAACGTTGCGATAGTCAGCAAAAGCGCATATTGTCGAGAGGTTGTTTGTATGTGTGTGTTCAGAAGCGAACAGACTTTGTCACCCACTTTCATCTCAGCAACCAGGAAATCTGGGAGGCTAAAATTTTGGATATGTATTCCAACCCGTGTATCACCCCCCGTTGTAAGATTTTCCCCTACACGCTCCTAGACCCCGCGTGCAGATTCACTCCCGAAAAAAATATGCAGATTTCTTTGGCAGGAAACGATTTTGCGAAACAAGCAAGATACAAAAGTGAAATCTTGCAGGAACATTCTCTGTGCATGTGCGAGTTAAAGATTTCAAATTCAACTGCTACGCACGCTTGTGCAGCGCGTA